ACCCGACTCGGACAGAGTTGTGTTTACTGAGTGCTTAAAGGCAGCACGGAAAACCAACTCCTAGTTACCCCCTCCCCCCACCCCCACACTGGTCCACAAATGATATTGGACCAAAGCGCTCTGAGCATGCTTTAATCAAAAAAGTAGCGCTATATAAAAGCTATAAAGATATATATATATAGTTTATGAAAATACATAAATTACAATACTTCCGTAATACACCAGATACGCACACACAAATCTTGCTATGTAGCCTATGGGTTTGCCAGTTGCCTACTTGCATGAGTATATCCAATACATTTTGAAGCATTTTTTTTCACTTTTTTTTTTCTGGTGATGTAGCCTGAAATCAAAGATCAAATAGTAAAGAAAGAGAAGCTAACTGTGTATCAAACTTTAGTTTCAACATCTCCAACAGCACTATTTCCCATTCTCGGATCAAGTTGAAACTTTGCAGAATTATTCATAATCAATGACAATACACGAATCAATCCGAAATTGACCAAATATTTCATCCTTTAGTACTAATTAATTTATTTATTTTATGCAGAAGGCAACAAAACCCTGTAATTTCCAGATAAATAGAAGTACTTATTGTTTTCTTCCCTTAGATAAGCTTTGTTATTCTTTTGTAAATTCTTTTTTTCAATAATATATTTACTAAATACATGAGATTATGCTTTTCTTTATCAAGTTAAATTGGAATTATTGGGAAGTAGGCCTGAGTTAATCTAAAAAATATAATAGGTTGATGTAATTTATATGTACTTCGGTATTTTATTAAAAGAAAATATCACACATTTCTCGCTGCTTTAAAATATCACACATTTCTCTCTGCTTTAAAATATCATACATTTCTCTCTGCTTTAAATGTCACACATTTCTCTCTGCTCAAAACAATTCACACAAGAGAAAGTAAGAGAAGAGGGGCTTGTTGGTAGAACAGAAGCCAAGGAATCAAAAGTATAAGAGAGTTTGATATTTCTTGCCAAAGAGAAGAACATAAATCTTATATAGTTTTTAAAGAGAGTAGATTTAGTGTTTAAAGAAAAAATAACTTAGAAAAGCCATTCTCTTAAATCTGTATTAATGTGGTATTTAAAAAGTCTTTCAAAAATATTTTATTCCTGTTTTTAAATTTCTGTTTTCTAAAAATAAACTGTTCTCTTAAAGTTTTGAAAATGCTTACAGAGATCTTGTAACAATGAATCGTGTCGGCCTCTTTTAAAAAACGTGACATGATTCAATAGCTTTGGGTCTGTCATATATCAGGGACAACCTTACCTGGTACAAATATAAAACTCCGCAGTCTATCTGTAACGATGTAACGGTGCATGGCACTGCACTAACGTCTGGGACTTGACACGGAACTGGAGGGGGAAAGAAACTTACAATTTAAAGTAGATTTGATCTGAATCCATCTAACTTTGGTAGAATTAAGATCACATGACACTCTGGAAATAATTTTAAAATAATTCTATCGTAATATCGTTCACATATTAGACATAATGTTTTTTAATCAGATTAAATTTAAGAGTAAAAACTTGAACACGAAATGTGGTCATGAACAGAACAAGTATTTGTGAGGCCTGGGAGTTTTACGATGTGATGGTCAAGTGTCCATGTAGCCTCGAGACTCAGTAGTTGTCGAAAGTAAAGCAGGCATTCGTTGTGATGATCAGTTGGATACTCCTCAGTAAGTGTTTGGGTCACATCAACAGACCGCCTTTATCTCAGACACAACGCCACATTCCAGGAAGGGGAAGGAACTGGCACTTAAAATCTGTCCAGTAGATCTACGCTAGTGCGTTTGGTTTTGGTTTAATATGGAACACATAAAATCATTCCTGTTTTAAGTGCTGTGATCAGATAATATTTTTGTTTTTTTTTTAATAATAGCGCCCAACAAGGCATTATGTTTTACTTGCTTTAAAAAAAAATGATTTGATTTAATTAACAATGAGTGTGTGTGTGTGTTGAAAATAGTGGCTCCCATTCCTACCTCCCCCATCAACCCTCCCCTATCAGTATGACCAGCATTGATCTTGGTGGTAGTTCTGCCCTGTTAATGAATTTTCTTTTCTCACTATCAGCTGTGTTACATAAACAAAGTCACATTTCTTATTCCATATGCTAGAACAAAGACGTTCAAGTGCTCCTTCTTCCTAAGTGTGATTACACTATTACAGCATGAAACAGGTTGTCTTAATCAGCCAGGAAAACTACTAACTTAGCAGAGTTGAAGTCTCTAAATAACATTCATGACTAGATTAACATATTGTAATAACTTAAGGAGATATAAATGTTTATTTACACGAGGACATCACATACACATAAGACAACGTCTGCCTTGAGAACAGCATCTTCATAGCGGCTCTAGACTTGGGCGGAAGTCGTTCTCTTCTTCTCCAATGTCAAAATCTCTCTCAGTCCAGTCCCCAACAGTGCGCAACTTCCGCACCCTCCTAGATCGTGGTGTGCATGGCAAGGTTATAACAATATTGATATGTACAGGATGTAATCTGTTTGGGAAAAACGTTTGTCAGAAATTAGAAGATACATTTTGGATTTTCATAAAGCATATGACGTAACTATGATTTTTTTTGTACAATAGTAATAGTAAATCAAGTCACTCCTTCATGGAGGTGGGCGGACGCTTATCTCAAAATGGCTCTAACGTTTTTTCTGGAAATTCCACAGTTGATGTATATCGATTAGATCAGTTCGTTAGCCACATGGGTAAATTTCGTTATAGTTTTCAAAGTAAAAATATATAAATCTAAATTTGGCCAGAGATTAAATCTAGGTCTAGATCCTACATTGGTTTTGAAAGGACTACCGCGTTATAATGACTATCGCGATTTGGAAATACCGAATGTAAGGCTTTATTGATTCAAGAGTTTAATAAATTAATGGTTAGGAAAATTGTGCACATTGTCTTCTAAGTCTTATCTTAAATATTAGATGAAAATGTGTTTTCCTCTAAGGTCTCTTCACGACATTTCAAGTGATCTGTTGACAAGAGTCATTTCTAATCAGTGTTCCGTATTAAAAGTTGTGTTCAAGATACTTAAAGATGTTTACTGTTTTGATTTGCATCTCTCTGGTACAGATGTCTGCTGCAGGTACAATTACCATTCTAAACATAATATCTGAATATACGTTTGTTATAGCAAGCTTTCTATCAGGCTTAAGTGGTAGAAAGAGTGGGGGTTACTACTTAGTTCGAACAATCAACTATAACAACAAATGTAAAGTCTATTAACATACAACCACAAAAAAAGAATAAGTTGATAACCTTGTTGGTGTTAAGTCTGAAACGGGTTCTCTTATCACCAAGGAGAACCCATGGCTTTATCATTATTTAACACTCACATCTAGTTCTATACAAACATACACGCAAAATGTAAGTCTTAAATTTTCAATACATATGAATCTTTATTTCATTTCAAGACATAATAAAAACTAAAAGATTGTAACTTTTTTGTTTCTCTGATTTAAAAGAAGAAATAAAATGAGAAAAAGTGGAACGCTATTTAGGAAAAGGAGAAATAAAAATCAAAAGCAAATCAGGAAATATGGAAAATTTGTCGACAACTTCTTGGCTACTGCTAATTAGACAATAAGGCCAATTAGCAATTCTAAGAGGAGAGCAGTTCAGAACATAAAGTAAAGAGGGAAAATAAAGGTTTATGGCCAATTACATGTAAATACTTTGAGATTACCAAATGTAATATAAAGCTACGCTTTGACAATATATAAACACCTCTTGGAAGGATCGTGTGTCTAATCAGGATGTTTAGAAATTGGCCAATACACACAGTATCTATGCATCTCTTACTCAGAGAAGACTTCGTTGGCTCAGATATTCATCCACATGCCAGATGGACAAATTCCTATCCTCTATGCCTAGCTTGCGGAAGGAGTCTCACCAAAGGGACGCCAAAGACCAACCTACAGGGATGTTTGAAAGCGAGATCTGAGGAAAGGCATCAATGAAAGCATGTGAGAAAGCTGCCCTATCAGGTAGCCCTAAAACAGGTGCATTCACATGCAGGAACTATGGCAAAATCTTCCACTCAAGAAAGAGCTTGTTTAGTCACACCTGATTCTGCCCGAAATCAAGAAGCAACAGAAGCCAGTGATTCATCTGGCGCATTTATTGTCTTTAGATACATACATGTATGTATCAAATTTTATGCATGCATGTACGTATGTATGTATATATGTGTTTGGTAAAAAAAAACATTCGTATGTGTATATGTTTCAACAAAGCTTATATCAACTGACTCTGTCTGTCTGGTAAAAAATGTGTACATCTTATTTCTCCAACAGCCAATCTCGGATCAAGCTGAAATTTTGTATAATTATTTCTTGTACCTGACCAAAAAAAAAAAGAATCAATGTATAAAATAACAAATTATTTAATAAACCATCGGTAATGAATTATTTTGTTTGGTATTGAACAAGAAACGAAATCGTACTTAATATATGTGGTGATATAAGCTCAATTAGTCCCCTTGAGGAGGACTGAGCCCCGGGTGAACAGGTTTTTTATCCATTTAAAACGCGATCACTGTAACATTGGCAAGATACCTCCCATTGCCCCCACCCTCCTCTTCCCAACTGGAGATCATAGTGCATTGAGAAAGCTAAAAGTATGAAATTGTGCTAAACAAAAACAATTGGTAAAGTCTAGATCTAGTACAAATTTAATCACATGACTTATCCAAACTTATTGATAAAACTTCGCTTTGTTGTTTTTTTTTTTGTTTTTTTTTTATTGTTTAATAAATGTATTTATTCCTTGCTGAATTTTTTATTCCAAGTTTTGACGAAAGACTCAGCCTGTAATGTAACTAAAGGATGTTTGAGTCAGTGTGACCTTAGCAACTGTTTTTTTACATTGTCATGGCAGCTTGTCAACGGCACAGTGACTTTTGTCATGTCAACTAACTACACAAACCCGAACACCTCAGGTGGTGTGTACATGGCTGTTGGAGTTTCATATGACCAAAAGATGGAAAGTTTTTTTTTTTTTTTAATTTTATATTGAACAAACTAAACTGTTCTATTTAAGTATTATATATATATTTACATTACAATGATCTACACCAGTTAGACAGCATCCATGAATCATTGGCGAAAATGTATCTTAATTAAGTTAATAATAGTAACAATGCTTTACGTTTTGAATAGTGTATTCTATTTGACTCTACACAGGGGAATGATAGTGTTATAGGCTGTGCAAATCAAGGGAACAGTTTCAAGGCGTTCGCGGCATATAATAGAATTGCTGATACACCAGAGCAATATAATGACACTGTGAGTATTGGAAATATCCAATAGAAACATATTGTTTAAATATGTGCCTGTGTTGAAAATTGATCTGCCATTGTTGGACTGCATGTCTCAGTAAGACACCAATCTTGTATGATAAAGGACGGAGTGAGAGAGGTTCCCCCTCCCCCCCCCCCCCACCCCCCACAGAAGGGATTAAAACAAATTCAGGCGTGATTTTCCCCTTACTGACATAAAGGATGGGACCTGGAAGCAAGTCATACAGACCTGTGACGTGGCAATGAGCTACTGGTCTAGACTGCCCATAGGTTGTGACGTTGCAAAAGATAGTGTTCTGGCCTTCTATAACGATTGGCCTTGCCTAGGGACACACGTAGATCTAAAACCGAAAACAGTCTGCGAAAAGAGAAATTAAATAGATCACTGACGGACAACTCTCTTTTTGATTTAGATGTACAAAATGTGCATGCCATATCTGGATCTGCGTAGTCGCGAGAAATTGATTTCTCTTTGAACTAGAAGACATTTTCGGTAGTGTCATGTAGTCTAGCAGACTAGTGTTTTAAGACTAGTGTAAGACATGGATCCAGTATCACGCTCTACGAAAGTAATTTCCCCTTTTAGACTTGCGATCTATATAGGGCAGATAGTGTTTACTTTTCCCCAACTATTATCAGGTTCAGGTAATGTCAGTTGGGTGGACTCAGAGACGCCATAAATATGCCGAAATTAAAAATTCCTCTCTTCATCAGGATTCGAACCCGGGATCTTCAAGCGCTTTACCACTCAGCCACCGCGCCTGTATATGTTTAACTAAATGTAACATTTTTCATCGTTCACTTTTAGTCTCGCTTCTCTTATTTGTCTGTTGTACACACCTGCAGGAAGTCATTTTAAAAAGCTACAGCAACAGCAACGGCGTCTTCACATGCACTGTCACCAGACCAATCACTGGACTAAACAAGAGATTTGACCTCGCTAGGCCAATGTTTATACTCTTTGTAACTGCCAACGCAACCATCGGTAAGAAATATTAAATAAATCAAAGTATTAATGAATCTTAGACAGCAATCGAATTAGCAATAAATCTACCCTATCAACAACAGTTTTCTAAACTAGATAAAATCACAATTTTAGCTTTTAAAAAAAATAATACCTTATTTTCGTGGCCATCTTTGGTTGTGGGAGATATTACAGATATAGACTCTATGTATAGTTTTGATATGTGTATAAGATCTAGAGGGTCCCTGCATAGACACTATATTTTTCGACAGTTTCGTTTGGAAGAGCCCCAATTAGCAAATGTAAAAGACATATATGTTATTGGAAAACTTTTGGCAGTACAATATAAGTGCTCTTAAGAAGAACCGTCTATGTAGTGAGATTGAATAAAAGAGATAATCTATCACACAATTGCTTCGAAAAGAGACAGCTGAAGTTGAATTCAAACTCTAGTCTAGTTTTCGTCTAATTTTTCTCTACCTAGATCTAATCAATTTTTTTTTTAAATACCAAGTCTCCCTATCTATCACTAGAATCAAAATATTCTGTAGATATCTAACTCTTTCTGGCAAATGTCTACAGCCATGTAATATTTATTTCACAGCTGGAGACAATATTACAATTTACAGTCACGGAGAGACAGACTTTATGACAGCCATAGAAGTGAACGTTTCCTCTGTTGTGGATTTAAAACCTTATGAAGAACCGGAGCGTAAGTGGAATTTCTCTTTGTTTTAGATTTTTACTTCGAATTGCTTAAATCTACTATTATTAATCCTATTGTCTTGCGATAACAGCTCTGACCAAAGATACAGCATGTAAAATAACTAAAGGCTGTTTGTCCGAATGCGGTGCAACTAACTGTGACTTTACATTGAGTTGGCAAGTTGTTGGTGCTACAGCAAAGTTCACCATGTCAACCATCTATTCAAACCCTGTAGGTGTCTACATGGCAGTGGGATTTTCTGATGACCACAAGATGGTAAGGACTGGGGGGGGGGGAGACTTTTATTTAAAAAAAAAACTTTTTTAAATAACAGCTCTATTGGCTGGAGTCACACATAGAATGTGAGCTGCTTACAGAGAAAAGGAATTTCAAATTTGGCTGTTGGTGATTAATTTTATGTTAAAGACAAGAATAAGTAAAATACTTGTAAAAAAAAAAGCTCATATTGAGTGAAATTGCATATAAAGTATTAAGAACTGTCACCCTTTCTTTGACTCAGCATTACATCCAATGTTTTCTAGCTTACATTCTCTCGTCCTTCGTTTTCGGTAACACTGTCAATGGACACACTAAAAGACGGGGGGAGGAAATGAGCAAAAATAAATAGGAGTGACTTCAAACGTCAATGCCGACCAAAACAAATGATTAGGCATAACAACCTCGAAGACATGAATGCGTCGTTGATGACTATGCCGGTGGTACATAAACAATTATATAGATAAATTTTTGCAAATGATATTACGAAGTGTTTCTTTGGTCGCGATCCAATATAGCCAGTCCGCTCCTGATCTGACATTCTATTTTTAATCTTTAATTTTTTCTGTGTGTAGGGAAACGATAGTGTCCTTGGGTGTGCTAGACAAGGAACTGATTTCAAAGCATTCGCTGCTAAGAATGTGGCGGCGGGAGTTACTCCTGAACAGTACAACGACGATGTAAGTAAGGAAACCAAACGTATTAGTCATTGAACTTTACATTAGATTTAAAGATAATTATATCCTTATCCAAACCTATTGCAGCGGACAGGATTCGAACCAAGAACCATCGAATAACAGTCCAGAGTGCATACTACTGGGATGCCATTATAGCCCTAGTCCCATGTTATATTCAATATGTATATATGTTATATTTTATATTATATGCAAATATTCATGTTTTGATCATCTAGAACGTTGTACTGCTGACGTCCAGCTTTGATGAAGGCATTACAAAATGTGTTATCAGCAGACCATTGGCTGGCAACTCTAATCGATTTGACATAGGCCAACAATGGGTTTTATTCTTTGTATACGGGAATGCCACTATATGTAAGTCTGAATTAACCATGCAATCCTTAGCCTGTAGGGAGACATACATAATACATACATTAAACAATAGGCCTGCATACTCTATACCAGGTGGGCAGGGGCTGGCGAAATCACATAATTTATATACGAATTCTTTACTTCAGTGGCATTTTACGTCTTGAGAAATTGATGTGTGACTAAAGAGGCCAATTTTTGATACACAGCTGCGGTCGCAGGTTGGGCATATATAAACATCAGGCGCCTTTGCATTTTCACCCTTCTTTCTGCTTCTGTTGTGTATGGCATCTGCAATCCGAGACCCTTCCTTTATGCTCCCTCTCCATGTGGATCTATCCAGTGCTACTTTTTCCCAGCTACTAGTGTCGATTTTGAAGAGCTTCATGTCGCGTTTGCATACATCTGTATACCGTAAAAGTGGGCGACCAGCGGCTCTCCTGCCTTCTATTAGATCGCCATACAGGATGTCCTGTGGAAGTCGACCTACTGGCATTCTACCAACGTGGCCAAGCCAGCCAAGGCGTCTGCTGCTGATAACAGAGCGGATGTCCTGGCACCCTGTTCTTCGTAGCACTTCCTCATTGGTTATTTATCTTGCCACCTTATTTTAAATATCCACCTTATTTTAAATATCCACCTTTGGCATCGGAGGTGGAAGACATTCAGCTTTTTTTCCTGCCATGAGTCGGTTGACCATGCTTTACTTCCGTATAGCAAAGTGCTCATCACACAGGTCCGGTAGACTAAGGCTTTAGTATTGTTAGTCAGCAATATGTTGTCCCACACTCTTTTCTGCACCGTAACATGGTGCCCATTGCTTTGGCTATCCTATTGTTAATGTCTCTATCAAGTACAGCATTGTTGGATATAATGGAGCCAAGATAGCAAAAGTGATCAACAATTTCTAGTGGTTGACCGTTAATGTTTACTTGAGGTGCAGTATTTGTGTTCTGAATTAGTATCTTGCTTTGACTAATATTTAAGCCGAACTTCTGGCAAGCAGCAGATAGTTTGTCAACCAGGGACATAGCGTAATGAGACAAGTGATAAGATCATAGCGTAATGAGAAAGCTAAAAGCATAAAATTGTTGTAAACAAAAACAATAAATAAGAATATTACTTATCGCATAAATGTATTATTGTTAGTCTAGATCTAATACAAATTTAATGACATGACTGATTCAAACTAATTCATACAAATACACTTTTGTTTATGTTTTTAAGCATTTTTTATTTCTCTTCTTTATTTAGTTTAACCTGACAGCTAAACAATCTTTTTTTTTTTTTTATTTAATTCACTCTAACAGCGAACAACGTTGTGACAATCTACAGCCACGGAGAGACTGACTACATGACTGACGTCAAAATCAGCGCCTCGTCTATTGTTGACTTAGAGCCCCACGAGATACTGGATACTAATAACAGTAAGAGTAGTACTTTTAAATTCAGGCATTACCAAAATGTTGGTATGCTACCATCCACCACTTTTTGAAAGCAGGAGTTACAGTGCCCAAGAGTGTATAACTCACTGTAGCCAAAACTAGAAAATTCATTATAGGTCATTCTGTTGGAATCAATCGCTAAGAGTATCTGCATCATTCTTTACCAGTGGGAAAAATCCTTTCCGTGGGTACTGGCTCCAATCCTCAACAGACTTCACCGCAATGCACTTCTGTAAATATACTTCGGGCTGGAAATAAGGGAGATTATGAAGTAAACATTCTTCTAAGCAATCATAGAGTTGTCCTCCTTGATTATAGCACTTGAAATGAATAAAACAAACACATTATATACTGCTAATTACTAAGGAGGATCTGTGAAATAGAATATATAGTTAGTTAAGAGTTTTTTATGTTTTAATTTTTTTGAATGAACCATATAAGATATTACCTTGATTGATTCTGTTTTTATGT